CGGCCAGCGGGGAGCGATCGCCGGGGACGCTGCGGTGAAGGGAACCCCGGCCCGTCGTCGTGCTGCAGCCTCGTGCAGGCGGGGATGATGAGAGGGTGCGGTGGAGGGAGCGCTGGCGGGCACAACGCCTCCCTCAGGAAACCCCGGCGCGGGTAACGCCATCCCTTCCCCGCTGTGCTGGTGAGTCCTGTCCGGCACAGGCACGGCACTGGCGCTCCTCGTCTTGCTGTCCAGAAACCAGCCCAGCCGGGATCTAATCGCAGAAGTTCGCTTTCTTGTACCGAATTGTGGATCGTCACTTTGGAAGCAAGGCACAGACCTGTGCTGTGAGGTCAAGGTGTGGCTCTGGGGCAGAAAGTCATTTGAAGGGCTCAGGATTTGGTTTAAACGGGGCCTGAAAACACAAGTTGGTCACGAAAACCCAGGACTACGGTGTTGTTGCTACCACGAAATGCCTGTGTTTGCAGCTTCTTAGGAGGCCAGCGGGCAGCAAAGCCATTGTGTCTATAGTGAAGCAGAGGGGCAGAAGAAGCCCTAATACCAAGAGTAGTCTGGTGAGCACAGTGCTAAGGGAGTCAGACAGTGGAATAGGCTGCCCAGGGAGGTGGTGGACTCACCATCCCTGGATGTGTTTAAGGGTCATTTAGATGAGATGCTGGGGGATATGGTGTAGGGCAGGGCAGGGCTGAAGGTTGGACCCGATGATCCCAAGGGTCTTTTCCAACCTGAACGATCTGTGAACAATTTTTGATGCTGCCTACACTGAAGTAGGAAGCATTTGGATCCCATAGATCTTGAGATCACTGTGTGCCATGCTCAAGAGATTAAAATAATTTCAGGAAGGGTGTATGATTCTCTATGAAGCAGTGAGCACACACACACAACCCATCTGTCCGTGGTTATCTTCTGTTCACCCTGTGGTGTATGTTTAAAAGCTAGTGTGCTTTAATTTGAATGCCACTTGACTTTGTGCTGGGATACATGAGTTGGGTGAGCGGGAACCAGTTGCTCTGTCATCTGTTGTTCAAGTAGCCTTCTTTCAACACTATGTGTGGGTGGCTGTTGCCGTGCTGAGCCTTCAGCCAGCCTAGCTTTCCCTTTAACAGTCCTTAGCAGTAGGAATGTCAGAAGCAGTAATGTCAAATCCAGCACCTGCTGGAGGGGGGCAAATTATTAATGTATTGGTTCACTAAGTCCCATGCAACACCTTATTTGATAGTCCCAGCAGGACTAGGCCTTGCTTTCACCATGTCACTTTCAACAGTTTCAACATGTAGCTTGAAGACTGGAGAACAGTATTTACCCTGCAAAGTTGAGCTAGGTCAGAAGGGGTCCAGAGAGGTCCTATTCTGACAAGTTGTGCACAAATATTCACAAATGTCTCCAGCAGCAGATGAAACTGCAAGAACAGGAAGTACTGATAGTCACAGCACTACAATGTGTAGTTGAAGTGTGTATGAGGTATGATATGTATGCTGTCATCTACAGCATGTTTTTTTTCTTTCTTTCTCTTCAAGAAATATGCCTCTGCTCTTCCTTCCCCATTCATCTCGTTGAACTACCCGTTACAAAGCAATGCCTCAGTGCCAGGATGACTGAGCTCTTCATCTACAAGGTGAAAAGAAAAACTGAGTTCAAAACTAAGATGCTCAGGAAGGTGCTGACAAAAGACAGCATGAAATGCTGTCACCTCTCAGATGGAGGGTGGCAAACAACCGTCAGTGTGTGGCATGTGGCAAGAATCTTGCAAAATACCACTGTAGGTATGAGGAGCTGAAGCGTTTTTGTAAATCACTTGGCTTGGCACTTGTTAAAACAGACATATGGTGCAGTTCCTTACTTTATTCAAACCATGTTCTAACATGACCAAATACAAGTCACCAACACAAATACCAGTTAGTATATACTTGCTAGGAGAATTAGATAATATAAGGTCATATATCCTTCTTTCTTTTCCTCCTTCCTTTACAAGGAGCTCTTATCCCTTGCTCTTTGTTCTTCCTCTTCTTTCATCTTTTTATCTTTTCATACATTAAATCCCAAATGGGCTATATCACAGCAGTATCTTTATTCTAATCAGCTTCCTGATTATCCCCTCGGTTGTACTGATTACTTTCTTCCCCAGAACCCTTGTGATGTCACTTAATCTTTTCAGATAACTCAACAAATAGCTTGTGTTGTCTGATTTCTGGAGGAGAGAGTACAAGGTGTGAATTGCCCCCAAATTAGTAGGGATTTACAAAACTTTTCCTATTCTTAATGACTGATAGAGAATAATGTTTGATATTGATGCTCTGTAAAATTTAATTAGCCTTTATGAATAACTTAAAAAAGGGAGCAGTCTATAGGTAACACCCCATTTTGCTGCCTAGCTTTAGTACACTGAATCTGATGCTGAAATGTAGCTTGCACTTTTCAGGAGCCTTAAGGTTTGACTTTTCACTTAGGTTACCTTAATTTCATTAATTTCAAAGACATTATTATTGATTTATGCAGAGTTGGAATAAGATTACTGTTTTCCACCTATGGATCCTGAGGTAAATTAAATTTTATGAAAAAGTTGTGGTTACAGTTGCAAAATCAGACACAAAACCAGTAGGAAATAAAACAATTTGTCTACATAACCTTGTTCTACAGGTCTATTCCTCAATAAATGTAGAGAATGAATGATAGGTGATCAGTGGGCTGAATGTCCTCTGTCATCGTGCTCCAGCCCATGCCTTAATTACTGCAGATCGTTTAAGCTGTGCACTGCCGATAGAATTTCCTTTTACTTTTTAAAAATATACTTGGCATTGTAGCTTTTAAGTGCCTTATGGTATGAATGAATAATGGCTTTGCAGCATCCCAAAAGGTATAAAGCTGGTTCTGGTTTCTAGGAGGGGACCTGAGGCACTGAGTTTCATTTCAGAGATGCTTGCTCATTTTAGGTGCCCATTGGAGATGCCTTTAGCCTGATTTTTCAGTGTACTTAGTATTATACAGTTAATATATATCCATTTTATTGTTCCAAGCAGTGTTCCCTTTGACTTCAGTTGCAGTTCTGAGCACTCAGCACCTTGGTAAATTGAATACTGGGCATTTTAATTTGAATCCCTAGAAAAATGAGGAACACAATTAGTGCTCCTCATATGGAGCCAGCTTGGGTGTGCCTGCACCTGTGGTAGAGACATGCCCTCAGAGCCTCATAAACTACCAGAAAGGAGGCAGGTGTTATTTACCCTGTTTGGCAGATGGAGATGTACAAAGAGGTTAACCCTTTTACACAGGATCGAACAGGAAATCTGTGGTAGGACTTGAAAGTGAAGCCGCATCATTCATGTGACCACAGAAATTACTTTACTCCCTGTTTTGTGGATGCATATTAGCCAGTTTGTGTGGGACTAACGTTAAGGGTAGGACAATTTGTATTGACCTCCAGATGTGTATAAAGAAAAGTTGTTGAATGTTTGCTTTGGGTGAAGTCCAGAGTACACAAAATGCTTTGGTATACCAGGCAACTTCAAGAGCTGAATTGCAGTTTGCTTCCTGCATTTGCTTATGTTTTGTGGTGAAAAATAATTCAGAGGGTTTTTTGGTAACATTGCCTTGTGAAGAGATATAAAGTCTCTCCTCATAGGCTTCAACCTGTGTGTGTTTAGTTGTGTCTTTAGCCTGTACTGACATTGGCATGTGTAGCAATAGTTGAGAAAGAATCTGTTTGTTTAGGACTATCTCTTAACATGACAGAAACTCAGTGCATGCACCATCATCTTCACTTTTCCAGCCAGCCTCTCTGTCCCCTATGTTGTCCAGTTGTTCCTGAGAGCTCCACAAGCCTCTTGCCATTGATCCCGCTGAGGGTCTAAAGCAGAAATATTGCCTAAGGGAATTTTCTGAGCTGTTGACAATCTGGCAGATGTTCATAAGGTTAGTTTGAGGATGCAGAGCAGTCACATGTGGATTGAGCCAAGCCTAACACAAGCCATGATCCTACTCAAGATAAGGCAAAGTGCAGTTCTTGTAGCTGTCGCTCTTGTTCATCGTATGCCCAGGAAGATGTGTGCTGAGCATATCCTTTCATGTGGAGCAACTGAGGCACTGCTTGGCAGAACAGGGTTGAAGCCTTCTGCCATTTTTTTTTTTAAATGTTAAGTTCTACCATTAAGAATATCTTGTAAGTGGACTAAACACTTATGTTGCCCACACTGGGTGGTGTTAGATCTGTGCTAGCACCGTTTGCCAGAGAATGCATAGTATTGTATGTCCCTCTGTGAGGTGACTGTAAGTAAATTGCCATCATCCAGGCATTTTGTCTTAATTAGCAGAGCAGCTGCTCTGAAAACATTCTTCTTAAGGGCTGATGTCTCAAGGATTACTTTATTTAATTAGAAAGAAACAAATCACTGGTGGGAAGGTCTCTTTCTAGAGTGCAGAGAATTTTATTTGAATTAGAAAAAAAGGATATAATTTTCGAATGATATCTTACATGGCAATGGACAGGGAAAAGGAAGTGAGAGTACATCTGACAGATAATGCTTCTGTGACAAAAACAGATTTGAATTGATGGAGGTCTTTAGAAAGGGGAATATTCTAAAAACATGAGTAAAATCCTGCCTTCAGCTACCAGGGATTAGGAGATGTCCATCTGTTTTTGTGATTATTTCTGTTTATTTTTCCAGGGTTGCAGATTGATTCTCTTGTATCCCTCTCAGCACAATGGTGGGGATTGCAAGGAAGAGGGGAGGGAGAAGGCTTTGCTGAGGACTGTTACAAGTTTAGCATTAAAGTTCTCATTCTTTTCCCAGTTTATGCCCTCCAACTGAAATCTTTGTAACTAAAAGCCCATATTTTGGACCACGTGAAAATGTGTGCATATCCATAATTGTTTGGATAGATTGGCAAACTGGGGGGGGGGCACATGAGCAACTGTTGCACTGATGTGGACTCAAGAAGCACAGAATATGTAGGAGAATGGAGAAAGTGGTGGGGACCAGAAATCCAGGCAGGCAGAAGGAGTGGTACACAGTAGCCAGGATGAGTCTGGGAACAGAAGCGTTAAGAGAGTTAAGCCAGAAAACAGAGTTAAGGGCATCAGTATTTAAAAAGAGAGATGTGGGAACCTAATAGAGAATGGAAAAAAAGTGATACAATTTGATGTGGCTATAATGGCTCCTTGCCAAGAATCTTGAAAGAATTGCCGTCCTAAATTAACAGGGAAGAAGTCAAAGCACAAAGAAATCATTTGAACTGCAAGAGGTCTAAGTTTACAGCAGATTGTAACCAGAGGTGTCTGGGGGGTTACATGTGGTGAGCTGGCCTGGGGCCAGCGCTCAGAGAGTTGCTGCTCCTCCACGTGTTCATGGACACAGAGCTGGTGTAAGACTCCTTTGGAAATAAAGGAAGCTTTTCATGTGGCTTCTCTAAGAATGAGATGCCACATGCGGATGCTGGGTGCTTCTGCCATGGGATGGACAGACCTAAAGGGAGGAGCTGGGCCAGAAGGCTGTCTCACAGAGATACAAATAGGGCACTTTTTGAAGAGGAGCTATAAGTAACTTGCTGCTAAGAGGGTCAGCAGTCCTTCTCCATCACTGCAAAACCTTATCTCTGTTATGATGGAAGGAGCCAGGCTGGCTGCTTGGGCAGGCAAAGAGGAAATGGAAGCATGGGCATTCTGCTGCTTCTTCAGGCTAGGCCTGTTTTGTCCACACTGGCACTAGTCCTGCCCTAATGTGACTTGTAACATTGCGCTGGATTGTGCTCACTTGGTGCTGATTGCCCCTTTTCACCTCATCTTCTGCGAAGAACAGTTTGCAGGTCAATGCTTTCCTGAAATCAGGCACACAAAGCCAGGACACAGTCTGCATCATGCTGTTACATCTGAAGCCAAGTAGCATAATGATTATTTCTCCACATCAAGTGATACCTTCCTTTACAACTGACTACTAGTCAATCCTGATATTAGTCTCTAATTTTCTCTCAGATCCTCCCCCCTTTCCATATTTCCTCCCACCAATTATAGCTTGCATTTTTTTCCCAGCAGAACCTCTCTTTCTTCCTGTCCTGATTTCTGTTGACTCTGCAACAATAATTTTCTGCCCTCATTATAATTCATAATGCTTAGCTAGTTCACATCACCTGGAGATTTCATTACAATATTGTTTAAAACCTCCTTCCTGATCATTAATGTTAAATGTGTATTGCAGCAACATTGCAGTACAGTTCCAGACACTCCTCCCAGTTCAGTCCTTGTTCTTCATTATTGCTTTCCCTTTATTACCCTTCAACAGCTTTATAATATAGATGATCATGTTTGCATATCCAAGCTACCACCTTTTCTGTTTGTATGCCAGATTATTCCAAGTGATTTGTAAACTCTCATTCCAGGGTCTGCTCTCCTTACACGCACAGCTTATTTATGGGTTTTTCTGCTAATATTGGAAATATTTTTGAATTACACAGCTGTCTTCTAAAAATGTTTGAGATCACAGTCTCTGCTGTTTTGATGATTTAATAATTTGTCATTTTTATTTTCCTGTACTCCAAGGGGTCCCAATTTTCTTCTTTCACTTGTCCAGCATTAATAAGAAATGAATCCAAAGCCTTTAAATCAGAGAATTTAACAACCAATCAGAGAATTGTTGTTCCATTGCTTTATATTTCACACTGTATGCTTCACATCAAATTCTTAGCTAGCATTCACATGTGGATTTGTCTTTTCACCACTCCTTGTGTGCATGTGTGTGTGTAACATCTGTCTGTTCTCAAAATTCCGTATTTCTCTGAAAAACAAAGCAAACCCTAGTATGTGTAAGGTCTGAGCCTAATTCTTTGGAAAAGGAATATATTACCAACAGGAAAAGCTATATAGAATCATACAATCATAGAATGGTTTGGGTTGGAAGGGACCTTAAAGATAATCCAGTTCCACCCCCCCTGCCATAGGCAGGGACATCTTCCACTAGCCCAGGTTGCTCAAAGCCCCGTCCAGCCTGGACTTGAACACTGCCAGGGAGGGACCATCCACCACTTCCATGAGCAACTTGTTCCAGTGCCTCATTACCCTCAGAGTAAAGAATTTCTTCCTTACATCTAATCTAAATCTGCCCTCTTTCAGTTTAAAACTATTACCCCATGTCCTATCACTACACTCCCTCTCCACCTTTCCTGTAGCCCCCTTTAGGTACTGGGAGGCCGCTATAAGGTCTCCCCAGAGCCTTCTCTTCTCCAGGCTGAACAATCCCAATTCTCTCAGCCTGTCCTCATAGGGAAAGTGCTCCAGCCCTACACATGCCAGTGTGCAGTTCCAGAGCATAAAGTATTCCTCCTGCCCTACTGCAGGATTCCACTCTGAGGTTTTATGAAGGAAGGGCACTGCCTTTTTACCTGGATGGATGTAGCTTAAAGTTCAGTTGGTACAAAAGAACCTCAAATAGTTTTTCCAATGAGAATAAAACACAATGCCAGAAAAAAAGAGGGAGAAAAAAGGGTCCTTTCATGGTGATGTATTGACAAGCTTAGTTAAGAATGGCAAAAGTTTTCAGGACATATGGTTGTAAAGTCCCAAAGCTTTTCAGCAAGATATATAAATACTAACCTAGCTCTAAATAGGTGAGTGGTCCCACTGAAGTTAAATACTTCTATGCTTAAAGTTAGGCACATACTTTAGTAACTTGCTAAACTGAAACCTGAAGACCCACTAATTTTAATCTTGCCAAATACTTCTGGAAATTCTGGGTCAGGGCATTCAGAACAAAATATCTTTTGTTAAAAATAGTTAGCTTAAGGATATCCAAGAGGAACATGGAAATAAAGAGGAATTCATCTTACAGTTTCACAGCATGCTAATTCTCTGGTGTTTGTATTTATTTGCATTGGTGATCTGTGCAGGTAGTGGGGGTTAGACTGCAATGCGGAGGATGGCATGGTAATGTATTTTTATTGACTAACAGGCATTGAATACATTCAGATAATGCACCCTTAGCTTGCTGGATGCTTATAGGCCTGCTCCTTTTGAATTCTTTAATTAAAAAGCAGAAGAAGCAAGCCTACAACCTGCTGACATGTGAGGACTGTGATTTTATTTGGTATGTTTTAAAATGCATTCTTTTTTCTAGGGAAGATGAAATGGGGCAGATCCAGTTTGTTCCACTGACCTGAATGGTTAGTGGGAATATTTTTGTGAGTTTTGTAAGGTAATAAGTTTTATATGATGCTGTATAAAAATCACACTGAGCACTGCAGCGACTGGGAAATGTTTTCACTTAAATGACTTCTTTTAGAAAGTTCAGATGTGTATATCCTACAGAAGCATGTTGATGTCAGCAACGTCTGAGATGGGAAAAGAAGCCTTATCAAATTCCTTGTTTCATTCCAATAACGTTAAATCCTTTCCTTTTGCTAGGACGGAAGTGTATGAAAACTCATATACTGAATCCTGTGTTTCAACCATTATTTTGCCTCTGTTTATAAGAAGGAGCAGACATACGCAAAACATGCCTTGGGGAGTGTGCTTTCCTGCTGAGTACCCTGAACGAATTAATCACAGAGCTTCAATTGTGTCTCTATTTTGCAAAGCTGAGGCCTGTCTGGGCCCCATAGCCAGGGCAGTGATAAAACCATAGCAGAGATTACTTCAGCATTATAAGTTGGCAAAATTTACTGGTGTACATCACACCACTGCAGTATTGCTAAATGCATCAGTGGAGCAATACGGAAAACTTCTCATCAACAAAGTCTTTGCTTCATTTTTTCATGTCTAAAATGAGCAATGGCAAACTAAACCAGTGATATTTATTTATTTTTCATTTCGTTTTTTCCTGTAAAGGTTAACTAAACTAGCTACTGAATAAAACTGAATTACTTTACAGCCAATGGTTCTTTTCTCTTAGGCATATTGCAGAAGAGCTGTGCTGGCAGGAAGATGGTGCTTATTCTGTGAGACTGTATTTTCAGCATGTTATGCAACAGCAGCAGGTTTGTAAAACTCCAGTTGTGTATTGGTACCAATAGTTAGTGTTTTGCATGCTTTGCCATTCGCATGTATGGTCTTTGCAGCAGTGTGGTGATCAGGGGCAGTTATAAGTAATTAGTGAGCTGTGGAAAAACAAATAGAAAACTTACAAGCATGCTGAGACACTAACTGTGTGCTCAGCAATGGGATGGGCTAAAACACATATTGCACATTCCAGGATGGGGAAGATGAATGGGAGATGAGTAGCTGATCTCTAATTCCTCTGCTACTGAGGCTGTGGAGTTTGTGCCTTGTTTAACATTTCTGTTCACATTTTTTTTGGTGTGAATAGACTGCCCCAACTTTGCCATGTCATCCTCTCTACAGCTTATTCCTCTTGAGCAAATTTGTGTTTATTGTCAGGCACCTATGAAGATTCCTTGGCTATGTTTGTAAGTGGATTTTTAATAGACTAGTTTGATTTCAGAGCACGTTGCCATGTGAACACCTGGGAAAGACAGGGGACAGGAAATTGTTACTAGAGCTTTTTATAAAATACCGGGCTCTTAAAATAACTTAAAGTTTTAGAAATTAATATCAGCAACCCATACCCAAGTTATCCTTAATCATAATTTGATTGCAGAAAGACATATAACACAGTTAATTGCACATGAAAAGATTTGGTATTGTATGAAACACATACTACTATGTTTTGTACATACTACTGTACAAAACATTTCATCCCTCACCACAGGAGACCCACATGGCCTCATTTGCTTTCCACATGTCTTTCTGAGGTAAGAATGTGAGCATACAAGGCCTCTCTTACTTGTCTTGCTGTCCTTTTGGTTGCAGTGATACCAGGTACTCTTACCACCAGTGCCAGGCTATAAACCAAGCATTTTGAGTCTCACCTCCTGCTGAATATTCTTATACTCAGCTTCAGAGGTATTGTGGAGGGCTTGCTTGGATGGACAGGGGTAGAGGAGCTGGCAGAATTGACAGAGGCCTGTGTCAAGATGGTGCTGGGTTAAATCTGCTTCGAGATTGAGACAGCAGAGAAATTCTCCCAAAGGATGCCACTCTCTAATTCCTGAGGAAGCACAGGTAACACTAGAGTGTATTTCAGTAATGGCACTGCTAGATAATTTTGCCTGGTAATGACTCAGTACTCCCTACATCCCTAAATATGTCTATTAGAGGTATAGAGCCAGGTCTACTTTGAGCATACCTGAATCCAGCTTGAAAATTGTCCAGGGAATTAAGCTTGGTCTGAGCTTGACTTATTGGCTGTAAAACGGTCTCCTGTGATTGATTATAGGTTTTCTGTACAACAGACATGCTGCCTTTGGGAGTGGGTACAGCACAACTGCAGGAATTTCTAGTGCTCTTGTTCCACTGACTGATAATTATGCTTTGGTGTTGTGGGCACATGTGCTCTCTGAAATGCCAATGCCAAAGAGTTGTCAAAGGAATTTCAGAGAAGCATTTACGCCTCAGGTGGGTGCTTTTGTAATTATTATGTTTATGCAACACTGTAGAACAGGATGCACTGGTACACAGTTACTGCCAATTGTATTGGTGTGAGAACCAGAAAAGTATAGCACTGCCACAGTGTAAGCATGACTTCTAGGTCAGTGAGGGGCAAGCATTTCTGGATCTCAGTTAAAACTTTGCCTGACTGGCTTGTCCACTACATGAAATTAACCTGGAGCTTGGAGAAGGCATTTGAAGATGCAGCGTCTGTTTGAAAGTGTTGGCACGGCTAGATATTTAAGAATGATTATAGAAAAAAAAAATCAATAACACCATCAGGAATCTTGAATGACATGGAGAGAAATAGAGGAAATAATAAGTCACTTAAGGGGTTAACTGAACCTCCAAAAATTATTGAGGTCATGTTTGGATTTGATGGCTTGTCCTGATCCTATCTGCACATGTTTGCTCTTCATCTCTCAGATCTGACATTCTTCACTCTCAGGAGAGACTGCTGCTATTTCTGTTCTCACTGACCATGGGAGCACTGTGCCATTTTGGATTTCTGGAGCGAGCTACTACATCAGTGCAGTATGTGTCCAGAGATACTCCTTCAGGTCCTAGCAGGACTGTGTGTCATCGTATTGGCATCCCTGAGCTTGTCTGTGCCTCAGCACTGCCCTAGCACATCCGTGCTCTAATTGTGGTGCTAGCTCATGGCCCCATGCCATGGCTTGGGCGTCCCCTGAGAGGATTGTGCAAGCCTGCCTGAGGGACACCATAGTGCTTTCACATCCATACCTTCTGCAGCGGCTTGAGTAATGTAGGATCAAGTACCACAGACTCTTTTCTTCCCTTTTACTGAGCTGAAATTATCTATCAGGTAATTTCCATTCCTGCTTCCCATATTCCTCTTCCCTGCAGCACTGATAAATTTCCTCTCTTCTGTATAGATGTAGTTCTTCAAAAGCTCTTTCTCAACAGAGTAGATATGTGGTAGAAATCCTTACCCAGAATTTGCCTTGCAAAGGTGGAGAAGTTAGTGTCCAGACTCACATTAGCAGTAAGGCAAATCTTTCTTGACCTATTCTTCTGACCTTAAGTGAGACATTAGTGCTTTTTTAAACCTTGCTAGGTATGCCAGAAGCCCTAAGACCAGTGCTCTCCAAACATCAGTGAGGATCAAGTTTTCTCCAATCTCTCTTCCAAAACAGAGGCAGCTGCTATTCTCGTTGCTACAGGAAGAACATCTGCCGTCTGTTATCAAGAGTCTGAAACCTTAGCTAGCAGCTACCCTGCTGAATGTTTTTAATACCTGTAAAATAACTCTGATGCAACAGCTGCAGTACAGATTAAGGACAAACACAGAAACACTTGCAAAAAACCAAAGCATCTCCGTATGTGTGGGCACCCAAAGAAATATTTCATCTTCACAGAACAGGATGTTTTAAATTAGATGCTCAAATCTCCTTCCCTACAAGCAAATTCTTATGTAAATCCTGTAAAGCTCTTCCTAGAGAAAATTTGGAAGGCTAGATTTGCTTTGTGTACATTTTCTGTTTGCTAATCAGCATATTTCATTGCAGATCCATCCTGGCTAGGAGAGAGTAATCCACCCCTCCCAGGACATCAAATTAAGGTAGCAATAGTAAGTCTTCATCTATTTATAGTCCTCTGTAAGCAATGTTGAAATTAATGGTGTTGTCTCCTCTCCACCACATAAGGTGAAATGCAGAGGAGATTGCAGGCTTTGCTTTGCTATCCTATAACAGAGATTTGGGTTGAGATTCTGGTTGTCCTCTGCATGAATGTGGGAAAATGAGGAAAGAAGATGAGATTTAAGAGGGTCTAATGGAGGAGGAGATGCTCACTTCCCTTTTTAACATTGATGAAGAGAATGAAGGTGGGACAAAAAGACATGCTTCACTGTCTTGCAGGCTGAGAAGACAACTGTCTCAGACAAACCCTCAGAGCCTTCAGAGACACCAGTGGAATCATACAGAGGTTTTCTGGAGAACAGCTGTTCTGTTCAACCTCAGCCATCTTTTTTCCATCATGCAGAGCAGAAGCTTGCCCCTTGTAATGATGAAGGTGATGGTGACAGTCAGAAGTTGAAAGGCATTGATTTCCTGCTGGAAAATGAGCCACCTCAGTTTGAAATGCTTTACTCCTACCCCAAAGAACATTTCCCACCTGATTCTGGTATCAAGTCAATATTTATGCACCATGCTGGACTTGGAACACTTCAGTATTTTTTGTAGCCAGGTGATGTGACCCCCAGGAACTTGTGCTCTGGGTATCCATCTTTGGAGGAGGGATAAGAATTGCTTCCCTATGTAACTGTTTTCTTGGCTAAGTTCTCCAATGAAGGCTGTTATTTCTGATATGTGAGCTCTCAGCATGACAGTGTTATGCTTCTCACTTGATTCAAAGTGAATTTTACTTACATGACTGTCAGGGCTTATACCCACAACCCCTGTTCTTTTGGCTTTCCACCTGTGTGTGTGTATGCAGTGTGGTTTCTGAGAGGTTATAAAACCTCTGCTATCAGAAAGCAGAACCTTTAATAACACCTGGGGTTTTATAATCCTTTATTTCATTTCCTTTTAAATTAATCCAACCCTGTCTTGCTGCAACATATGAGGTACTCTTCTTAAAAAGACAGAAATGTGATCAGATTACAAGGTACTTCAAAGATGCCCCACCTTCAGCTATTTGTGAGCTGCTTAGAATTAGTGGAACTATGTGGCAATGGGCAAAAGTCTTACCACAAGCAGGACTTTTCCCTTTGATTGAAATTCCAGGATGTGCTGAAAACTCCACAGCTATTGTGTGCAATACAGTTATGTCAGCAGGAAATCTGGGGACTTTTAAAATTTGGCCTGTTTTGACATGGCAGTTCTGCTCCCTGCAGTTTATGCATAAAATGCCATGATGCCCTGGGCTGGAAGGTTGGAAATATAATAAACTCCGTAAGTGCAGTTAGACTCTGATCCTGCTGCCACAAGAAGTCAGTACGTGGTGTGTTTTTTTTGTTCTTTTGTTTTTTTTTTCTCCCAGGATTCAGGATCAGCAGAATCCAGAAAACAGATGTGGGAGTGCCTCACCTTACCACTGCTATCTCTTTCCCCAAGATCAAAGTTACCATCACTCCCCCCTTCCCCTGGGGAAGTCGCAACAAACTGATGAAATGCTGGGAACAACTCAGTCAGGAGGAAACTACAAACAAACCAACCAACCAACCAACCAATCAACCAACCAACCAACCAACCAACCAACCAACCAACCAACCAAAAAGACTAAAGGAGGCAGAACCCATAAGAAGCAATGCAGGAACAGAATGATTAGTCAGTTGGCTTCAGATCCAATCCAGTAAGCTTCTCATTTGCTGGATTATTTGCTCTAAGCTCAGACACTGTGCTCATCAGTGCCCTTCGGCCATCCCAGAGGCACCCTATAGCTGTGTTTCTTCATGGTGTCTCAGTGTGATTGAAAACTATGCATCTTAGAAATTGTTCCTTCATGAAATGGAAGGACAGGACCAAGTTTTTGCTCTATGGTGCCTGACATGCTTTCCAGCATGTGCTGCTGTGTCAGCACAGCCAGTAGCCCCAGAGGAGCATGGAGGCCAAGGTGTACATACTGGAGAGGGCACATAGGTAAGGTACAGTCTTGAAAGACTTATCTTCTGTTTTCTAGCTGGGGTTATTGTTTGCTGATGGGAAGATGCTAGTTCACGCTTTGATCTTCTTTTGCATGGTCCAGAGTGACATCTAATGGCACTGTACCAGATTGCACCACGTCTGGAGAGAACTAAGTGGACAAAAAGCTAAATGGACTGAAGTTGCCAACCATTTATCAAGTGACAAGGGCATGGTAAATTCTGTCAGGGGTGAAGAACCAAATAGACTGTATTAAACTAAACTGTCACACTATTTGTAGCCATACTTCGATGTATATTACCTGAATAAAGCTGGGAAGTTAAGTAGCCTAAAGGTAGGAAGTGGCAGAGTTAAGCTGCCTGTGAAAATGTAAAATATTTCACATAATATGTTAGTTTAATGAAATATCAGTGAGTTTAAACAATATGAAAGGAGGGAGTCAGGACAATATTCCAGAAAGGAGTCAATCCTAAATAGTCTATTTTGAGTTTGATGTGATGAACATCTTTCATATATAACTGATTTTATAAAAAATAAAAGATCATACAAAATTGTTTTGCCAGAAACAGCATATTCTAATAAAATATGTTCCAACAAATATTTTCAACCAGTGCTGTGTTGGGGTAACATTTTTTGGAACTGTGCAAATTGTAGATCAGAGATCTGTCCGATCTTACCAGCATGGAAATACATTTATATATGCTGTATGAATTCCCCTTTAGGCACCAATCAAGGCAATTTTGCACCATTACGTTGCAGGAAAAACAATTTGTGTATTGTGTTCAAGTGTAGGAGGCCAGCATTTAAAATATGTAATCACAAATCAGGGGTAAGAGCAAGAAAATCTTTAGAATTATTTTAGCTAGCTTTTTAGGGAAATAGAATTTTCCTATTAACCTTAAATTGATTGAGTTTTATTTGTGGTAATGGGCATTGAATGATATCCCATTTAGAATAGTTTCAGAATTGCCTAATTAAAAGGAAAAATTTAACTGAATTATATCTATATGCATATATCAATACACATATATGTGTGTATTTTGGTATATAAAATACAGTTAGTAAGTTGTGCATAGTACACTTTAAGACTCTCAATATCTAAAAAGCATTAGATCACACACACTTTTAAGGTAAGTTTTTAATCTCTGGTATGAATCCACAAAGCAAAACCACACATACTAGCACTTAAGGTGTAAATAACTATTGGTTCTATCCTTAAGAAGGCTGAGCAGCATATGGTGAGCCCAGGGAGAAGGTGGCTTTTTTCGTCTCTTTAGTCATGACCTGCTGGTAGCATGTTCCTCCTCTGACCCTTTAGACTTACAAATTCATGATAGAGACAATTTATCAAGGAAAAATTAATGAGTTTTTGCCTTTTAAAAAGATATTTCTAAAAGTCATATATTTTATTTTCAAGGGATTCTTTTCTTTGTGGGTTTTTAGATTATGAAGTTGAGTTTCTAGCTACCTTTTTGCCCAGAAGTCTTTATATGGTGATTGGAATATTATCATGTTTGTGATAGTGGAGAAGCAGTACAGGAAAAAATCCTTTTTGAACAATGCTAAATTCAGTTGAGGAACTCATTGCTACAGATTTCTTTGGAGACTAAAGTTCACACAGTTAGGCAAAAGATTAGAAAAAATCGTGAAATATCGGTTCACCACTGGCTGTTAAATGTAGCTGGAGTGCATCTATCACCTCAGGAATTCACAGCTGCTAATTGCTGAAGAAAGGGTGTATAAACAGGAAAAAGGATTACTCTCTGTCTGTGTCATTACATATATTATTTCCTTTAGTATCCAGTATTAGTTACTGTCAGAAATGCATTTCACCTAGCTGCACTTTTGCTCTCTCCCCTATAGCTGTTTTAATGGCTGATTTTTGTTACATGAAACTGCAGAGTAACAGCTTTACTTTTTTTTTTTTTTTTTTTTTTTTTTTTTCCCCCCAAGAAACAATGAATTTAAGATAATGTTTTTGTTGAAGTATCAAGTATATTAGCTCAGACTGGAGAAGCATTTTCTTATCTTCATCGAAGTCTAAGTGGTCTGTAGTTTTAAAAGTAAATTAGTTATTGTCAAGGCCATGTTACCTTAACCCAATATCCAATATCTTAGACAATTATTAAGCTGGCAGATCTGGAAATGTAATGTTTTTGATAGTCTCAAGCTTCCTTTCACTGTATATTGATTGGGCTCAGAAGGGGGTTTCAGCTGACCATCTCCAGCCTTCAGGCAAGGAGCCTTTCTCTCACAAAGCATTTGGTATCCAGCAGCTGGAGGTGACATTTTTAGACACTGGTCCTTTCTTCAGCTCTGAGGAAGGTGTTTAATTATATATCGTTTCACATCCAGGAAGTAGCCTGGGAATGCACAGACTACTCTGTAGGCTGTCTTTGTGGAAAGACAAAGAATATTATCTTTTCATTGTGTTGGCTTCCTAAAGACCCCTTTCCATCCCAGAGGAAAAACAGTACATTATTTGAGGATAAAATTAATTAGAAACAAGAAATACTTTTTTTGAAGCTGGACTAATTAAGCATTGGAACAGTTTAAAACCAAAGGGAGGTGACTTATTAAAGCATTTGAAAATAACTTGGAGAAATCCTGAATAGCCTATGACCTGGTGGAGGTCAGTCTGATGGTGATGATAGCAGGGAAAAAAAACAGTAAAAAAAAGTGAGTTAGTGTTCTGAGCGACTGTTACCTCTCAGGAACAAGACCATATAATTATGATCAATATTTCTGTGCAAACATTTAATCAGTGTTCTGTGCAATCAAGAAAATCTGTGATTTGAATGCTAAGATCTGTGGAAGACAGTAGATGGCGCAAAGACGTCAGAGAAGCTCCCGGGTTTTTGTTCAGGTTAGGGATCAGGCTCCATAAGGTTTTGGGGTGAGCATGGCAAGAGGAAAAGGATCCTAATAGGTGTGTATCAGTTTTATTTCTCAAAATCCAACGAGGATCATGTGTGGGAGGAAAGAAGTGCTATCTATATGGGTGCCACACATAGCAGCTTTAAAGTGAATTGTCTGCAAATGCTATCTGCTAAAATATTTTGATTACAGTGTTTTACAAACATTACACCCCCACCTACACCTTTGTAGCTCTTTTCAGTGTAGTTATTTTTAGCTGTTCTGCCCTTCAAGTTTTGACTTTTCCCTCTCTGCCATGAGATGAAACAAAGACTTCAGAGCTTTCCAAAATAATCAATAAATTACCGTGCAGTGCTCCCACACACCCAGGTAATAGGAGGGCTGTATTTAACTCCTTTGTTTCTGATTTTCCCTATATTCTTATTCCAGGCTCTGTACCTTGGATGCCCCAGTTATTAGCCTGTTTGAGATGGGCTAGTCTCTCTCCATCTTTCCCCATTAAAAG